CCATGAGCAGGGCAATGAAAACAGGCTGGACACGGGAAGCAATATCTCAACAATACTAAATAAGAACAAGAGGATATATACCTAGACATGGACAATAGAACTAGAATAATCTAAATAAATTAAAGTGTTCAGTTCTAAATTTCCTAAAAGGGTTACCCAGATTGACAGACACTTGAAGAACCCCGGTGACCACAACGGTCAGATTGTTAAGAGTAAAAGTAAGACATTAGTTTGAATGTGTATAATGATGACTTCTCATACCAGAAATTCAGACAGAAATTATTTTATACTAGGTTTCAACGTTAGGTAACATTTAGAAACTCCATATTTGCTCGGTCACTTCAACAGGCCTTGTTTTTAGCTTGATACAAAATAACAAAACGCGTAAACCCGTTTCGGATCAAATTCATTGTACTACTCTAGGGAGACTAGTTTGCCAAACCTCATAAGTATTTATGACAAGCTATAATCACCGTGTCGTGATTGCCAGAATCTTTTACATTTATAAGTCTAGCATTTGATCATGCATTGAAAATTGCTGTTACATTTGGTATGGTGCTTCTATGTATTTAGAGATTCTTGTTAATATACAAAGAATCTGGAATGTTATTGGTCCTGACCTCTCGGCTTCAGTCACGTTCCCACCGCCATAATGTACCTTCCCTGTGCCTTTTCTATAAATATGGTAATTGTCCTGGTATTCTTTCCTCTTTGGTATCCAGACTTTACGAATTTAAGCGCAGTACTAGATTAGCGGCAAGGTCTCATCTTTGAATGTTGAAGTAGTTAGATATAACTAAGTTCTATACTAACAGTTGATTCTCTCTTCAGTCTTCTTGCTTTCCAGTCAACTTTGATCTCCAAACATTTAAATGCAATCTGAATCGTATCTTTCCTAATTCCTGTTCTTTTACTGCTCTCTCTCTCCTTAAGGTTTTCTTTTTCTCATATTTTCTCTCAGTCAGTAACTCCTTACGCCTTAGCGAATTTATTGCCTTCCTTGATAAATCTATTTTTTTTATTTCGCTACATTAGCTTCATACTTTGTTAAAAAAATACTGTGTAAAATAAAACTTAAGCACAAATAAGCGCCGCTAGATAATCTTATTTATCTTAATTGAAGCAATTCAAACCCGTGTTATTTCTTCAATTTGGCATAATCCCGCACAAAGGCAAAATAGGGAAATACTAGGAAGATTGTGCTGCGTCAATCATATCAGGTGAGGGTTTTTTTTTTATTTTAAAAGCTCAGCATTTAAATTTTGGTTTCCTACTCGAGTTTGGACCCCTCCTATTCTCTTTTTCCTGCCATTCATTTACACACGTTTCTTAAGTCGGTTTCTCTCTCTCTCTTGCCTTCGCTGTCCTTGAGTGTCAAATTTACGAATCCTTTCTTCGTTGTGAACCAAAGAAATTTCAACTGTCTTTTTCTGATTCAACGTATAAGCTACGCAATGTAAACTGAAATTCTAAATTTTTTAATTGACATAAAATAGAAAGCATTAATCCCATTAAATAATGTCAAGGACACAGGGACTAATAAATAAGACAAAAAAATGACCATAGTCTCCTGCAGTATTGACCACCACAAATGAGTAACAGCTCAAGTTTCACTAAGTTACGTTCATGCAAAATCGATTATGTTGTAGTTGCATTGTGGTAAGCGCATTGGTTTTGAAAAACTAAGTAGAGTTCGATTCTTGTGAAATTCTACAGATATGATTTTGGACTAAATCTAACCCTCTTCTGTTCGAAAAAGGTTTGACCAAGCTTAGCTGAATGCGGCACACGATCGTAACAGTGGAGCGCTAAGAGAAGATCATACACACCAAGCACGTGAACTGGTTTGTGAAATTAGCTTTTTAAACATCTTGCAACGATGGGCACCAGTTTTGATTACCTGCGTCCATTAATCATCATATTCTTTAGAAGACAGACCTATATTCGTTTGAAGTTGCCTGATTTATCTTCTCGTCTTTCGAACTTTCTTCCTCGCTTCCCTTCCCAGCGACACAATATTTGTACCCATTGACCCAGTCCTACCGGCTTAGGTTTTAATGAACACTTCCTTGTTTAATTGCCTCCTTCACCCGCCCCCACCCACTTTTCGGCAGTTAATCAGATTACTTTCCCAGCCCGTATTTTGACCCGACAAACTTTCAAATATTCTTTATTATTATTATCATCAGTCATAATTATTGATACGTTTTTCGGCTTAATTTGACCAGATTCTTTTGTAACCGGGAAGCAGAAGGAAAAGAGCACGTGTTTCGAAATTCACGTGCAGCTCGTCATTCGAGCAGACATTTTGTCAAAACGATGACCTTGCTCATTACCGCGAACAGCTGTTTCATAGAAGCTTCTTTGGAATCATTATCTAATTTAAGCAACGTTTTCTTGGGTCGTCTTACTTCGGTCTAGACTACACAAGTATGCGATGGCAGTTTTTACTGTATTTCTCAAACTAATTTCTTCTTCTTCACTTAACATCATAGATATAATCACCCGTCTGTGTTTATCAGTCAGTAACGCTTGCATTACTTCTTGACAGACAAATCTTTTGATTTTCAATGCATTTCAATTGCCAGTACCTTATATACATTTAACAGCCACATTCTCTCAGTAACACTTGAATAAAATGTATTAGCTTTGAACTTTCAAATGTAGCCTCAAATCAGTAATATGGCAACTAATTTTAACCGATCTATTCTACAGCTTTTCTTAGGTCAATACTGCAGGAGCCTAGGGTCATTTGTCTTATTTATTAGTCCCTGTTTCCTTGATAAGATATGCAAGATTTTTTTTTTTTTTAGATAGAGCCATTGGTGACTATCATTTTCTGTTTTTTTTCTCTTGGTTAAAGTGACTCCATTCCATACGGACTGTACATCAGGAAAAGGCAGTAGAATAAAGCAGCCGAAGTGCTGTAGTAAATACAAAAGCACCCCCTCCCCCCCAACCAAACAGATCAACAGTTAATAGAAGCTTTAATTAAAATGTTAAAAATACGCAGAATTATTAATGCAGTGTCCCCACTTCAAGTCGTAAGCGATCGCGTCTCTCCATATTCCTTTTCTTTATTATCTGAATTCCATGAATTCTTAGTAAAGGTAATGCAATGGTTTTCCGTTGCCTTCCCTACGGATTGCTACTCAGAGTAGTTCTGATTGGCTGACACCGAAGCAGAATGACCTCCGCCCACCGATAACCATTAGGCTATCTCACTACCCTTTCTAAGAGTAGTTTGTATACTGCGTCCCTTCCGAACATAGAAAGTTGCGGAGAGACATGATTGCTTATTTCATTCAACCTTTACCCATTTTCTTCCTTTGCTAAGGAATCCATTCACACAAGCTCGTCAGGTAAGTGGCTCAATGGCCTCCCCTATCTTTCTTGCCCTCAATATGCCCCGTGAAGACTAAGTTTTTCAAGTATCCCTTCTTCATTTTCCCGATTATGAGTGTTCTTTCTGCTTTCATGTTCTTTAAGGTTTCTTTGTTGCTTATTCACTCCATCCATGGAGCTTTCAGTATTCTTCTGTAGAACTACGTTTCTGCTATCTCTATTTTTCTCATCCGTAGAGAGACTGTCCAGCATTTACTGCCATATAAGAGGATAGATAACATATAGCAGTCAAACACTTATCTTTGTTTATAATGAAATGTCGAAATCAGTTTGTTTTAAATCTTATTTGAGTAGGTAAGAATTTTCATGGTCGTTTATAATAAAGAGCCAATAAATATTTAATTGGTTCCGCGATGGGTTTGAGAGTCTTAGCATTTACTTGTTTCGGGGGCAGGGGGGAGACAAAATAAAGGTTGTATTTTATCTATATTCAATTCCCGTGTTTGGAGATTATCCTCTGCTGATTTTAACAAACGCAAAAACCTCATGAAGCCATGAAAACCTGCCAATCTCACAGAACTTTTATATAATAGATATAACAACCGTCTTTAAATAAACATACTTAAAATATTAATTGGAAGATATGGGCCGATCACTAGGCTATCATGATCATTAGATCTCAGTTCATTAAATTTGTATCAAGTCACTCAAGTGTTACTGGTAATATGTAACAGTACTACCTGCCGCGTGGTCAGATCATTGGCAACTAAACCGGTTCTCTCACTGCTGAAGTTGGTTGGTTGGTTGTTTTATGGCATATCAACCTTAGTGAGTTATTTAATGCTAACAATTTTTTTTTAAATAGATTGATAGCTATAGTTTAGTAAAAAAAAAATAGGTGTGCATGTATACATATATATTTGAACCATTTTTCAATTACTCACATTTTGAGTACAATCCAACATCTTTTAGGAAATTTACAATCTTGGATGGTTTTATTTTCGTAAAATGTTTTTTTTAAATTACTCATCTGGTAATATTTTATTTGCACTAGATCAAAATCTACACACTAACAGTATATGTTTCACTGTAAATTTTTCTTGGCATGTAGTGCATATTGGGGATTCTGTGCCCTCTAGTAAATAATGGTAGGCGATGTAGGTGTGGCCTATGGGAAGGCGGGTCAGCACGACCTGTTCTCTCCTATTTTTATACTGTGTTCCATTCTCCAATAGTGGGTTTAATGTCTTGGGGTTTGTTATTAATGAATGCAATCCAATGATGTTGCCATATTTTTTAATGATAATTTTCTTTACAATAGTCCTATAATCGGGTATGGAACCTTTGTGTTTGTTATTGCATCCTTCATGCCTTTTTTTTTTTATCCCCGAATCCGCCTTGACATTTCCCAGTATCCAAAAATGGCTTGGAATCCAACAAAAGATTATTTCTTTATTTTTAGACAAGTGGTAGATTCTATTTAGTACTTGTGGGTTTAAAGGGTCATTGACATTTTTTATTTTTAATGCAGTAAGTGCAGATAAAGAGTGTGAAAATTATGAATTTATTATGGGGCGTTGTGGTTATTATGTCAAGTGCTAATAGCAATTATTTCAACATTATATATTGAAGCTATGTTTTTTATTTCTTTTCTGATGCTTATTCCGGCCGCGCATCCTACTTATTTTTGCTCCATCTATATCTATCTATATCTATATATCTATCTCTATATATCTATATATATCTATATCTATATATATCTATATCTATATATATCTATATCTCTATCTATATCTATATATCTATCTATATCTATATATATCTATATCTATCTATATCTATATATCTATCTATATCTATATATATCTATCTATATCAATCTCTATCTATCTCTATCTATATCATATCTATCTATCAATATCTATCTATATCAATATCTATCAATATCTATCTATATCTCTATCTATATCTATCTATATCAAATATCTATCTATATCTCTATCTATATCAATATCTATCTATATCTATATCAATATCTATCTATATCTCTATCTATCTCAATATCTATCTATATCTCTATCAATATCTATCTATATCTCTATCTATATCTATCTATATCTATATCTCTATCAATATCTATCTATCTATATCAATATCTATCTATCTATCTATATCAATATCTATCTATATCAATATCATCTATCTATCTATCTATATCAATATCTATCTATCTATATCAATATCAATCTATCTATATCAATATCTATATCTATCTCTATCAATATCTATCTATCTATATCAATATCTATCTATCTATATCAATATCTATCTATCTATATCAATATCTATCTATCTATCTATCTCTATCTCTATCTATCTATATATCTATCTATATAAACATGGTCTGTGGTTATTTTTAATATTCAGTATTTCAGACTGGTATACAATAGGGTTTGTTTTGAATCTTAGATATCTTGTAAGGTTAGGTTGGTTTATGATCCAAGGGGGTGTAGATGAAATAGCCGATTTGTGAATTTGTGTTGCATCTATCGGGTTTTCTCCCATGATGCTTTTAATGCGTAAACTGAAAGGTTTGATGGATTTTCCTTTCTTTGGAAAAGTTCTATGTATTGTGGTTAGATAGTATTACTGTTTAGAAGGGCATGATGATAGCTTTATGTAGTATTGGAGAACAATCTTTTCAGCTGAGGAGGGTGACCAAACACTCGGCAGAATTAAAAGGAAGACCTGTCAAGGACAGGTTAACCTTCTTGTAGGGGTCAGCAGCTATCTAGCACAATGGGGTTTGGATTTGGTTGATCTTGTTTAGCGGCATATCAACCACTATGGGTTATGTAATGTCCAAATATGAATATTTTGTAAGCAATTTTATGCCTTCAACTAAATATATTTTGAAAGCAACTGCATGCCTTCAACTACAGATAAAATGTATTGGTGGTAATTCTAATATAAATTTTTTTGCTGGACATTTTACTATAAAAATGCATTTTTTTATTCTTTCATAGTGTTTTGTTTTCATTTGGGTGTTAACTATTTGCCCGAAGCTGGGACTATAACAGGTGCTATTTCCCTGGGTCAGGGTAGAGCTGGAAACAACAGCAATTAAAAAGTGCTTCCATGCTCTTGAAAATCTCCGATCTCCCGATCAGAGGCCTTGCTGTCGGTTGTAGGTTATCGTCATACCCAGGACTGAGGAAAATGTGGTATACTGGCCTCCATAGCTACGTTATGGCATCACTGAACGGAGGGCTTCCTAGATTGAAGTCAACGGCCCAAGGCAGAGGGTTCCCTTGATGGAATCAACGGCAACGTGTCTATGCCACTTACATAATAGAAAACCATCCACATTCCTTCCGCGTGAAGTTCCACTCAAACAGCTTCTTCACTGCCCGATGGAAGAGACTCCCTAGAGGACGTTTCCTCGATCACTACAATCTTAACCTGTTCAAGTCTAGAGTCAATCGTTATCTTCCCTTCCTATCTATACAAACTACCCCGTAAACCTCTATCTTGAGTGCCCCCGAGCCTTGTATAAGGTGAACATTACTGTAAAAAAAAATATAGGGCATCAGCTGTGATGTGATCTGGAGAGGGATGGGTTCCGCCAGGTCAACTTGCCCGATACACGCTATTAATGAAGTAATACTTATCCGGCTTTCATCCCCAGATATGTAGAGAGAACCACACCCGATCATGGGGTTGATCATATTTATTTTTAAGAGAACCTGTAGACTTATTCGACAAAGTATTGTTCATTAGAAAACCTTCGGAATTTAGACAGGGTAATTTTGGTAGAAGAGAAAATTAAGAGTGCCCTGTTGAAAGATGACTATCCCAGAATTTACGCGATTGGAACTAACAGAAGGATTTTGCTAAGAACTGTGTCATGCAAAGAGTATTGCTTATTCTACAAAAGATTATGTTGCGCCAATTGCCCAAATGGAAAGGATCAGTCTCTAATTTAATACCCTGTCTCTTGCCAGATCTCAAAGATTACTACTACCAGTGAGAATTACGTAATGATCTCACCTCCCTAAAAGTTAAAGTCAGATATTAAAGCGTAGTTCTGACGCAAGGTTGCAATATTTGGGCACGTAGAATACTAAAAGACAACTAATAATCTATAACTTACACACAAAAACAAGCGCTCTGTATCTGTGTCTATGTGCGATATGACAGTTTGTATCCTTAGAAAGACAATAGTAAATTGACAGTCGGAAATTAGTTTTTAAATAAATGTTAATTATTTCAGGGTGTCCTTGCATACAAATGCGACAGTTAAAATCCAATATAAAATTTAATAGGAACGAAATTAATTTATGTTTAACATTTTTCACGAATAAACACTTGTGAATAAATGATTAAACTGAACAAAATTCGTATAAATGATAATGTTGTTTGAAAAAACAAGAAAAAACAAAAACAAAAAATACATTTTGCTATAAAAAACAATTGCGTATAAATTTTCATGTTATGGATGATTTAGTAGGATCCCTGTTAATATGCGGTATTGTAGTACAGTGTAACCCGGATATAAGAGAGTTGTCGGGACCGGAGAAGTCTCTTATATCCGGGTTTCTCTTATATCAGGGATTGGTCTATTTTGTTTAGGTAAGTATGGGAACACTTTGGAACCAGAGAAAATCTCATATCCGGGTCTCTTATATCTGGGTTACACTGTATATGTTAGATTGAATGGCGATGAATGAGTTCTTCTTGTGGCATACGAGTAAATTATAATAAATGAATGGATAGTGAACTATATTCACTAGGTGTAGGATAGTCAGTGACAACTAACCTTACGCCACCCAACACGTTTGTCTTTGTGCCAAATGAAATGTAATATTTCAAAATAGAAAAAAAAAAATTACTATAAAAATAGTACCCAACATTTAGAACTGGATATATTTGAATTTGAAAGTTGTTTATCAAACAATGGGAAGTAAACATTTTTTATGACAAAATTTTTAGGCGATCATCACTCAAATTTAAAAAGAAAAAAAAATTGAACCTAATTCGGATGAGCTCTTTGCTATGGTACCTTCTATGGTACCCAGACTTTTTGAATTTAAGCACACTACAAGACTGGCGTCGAGATCTCATCAATTTACAGTTGAGCTGACTAGATGTAGCCGTAAATTCTATGCTAACAGTTTCTTTACTCGCACTTCTCGCTTGTCGAACTCCCTTCCAGTCAGCGATGTAAGTTTGCTTCACTATGCGTTTTTTTTGTAAATACTTTCATAATAATTGTTCGGATGAGTTCTAGATCGTCGTTAACTGGGGCAAAAGATGGCTGGTCAATTTTAACGCTTCTAAAACTAAATTTCTCTCTATTAGTCATCTGAGAGAACCTCTCTGCCTTCCATCAGTATGGCTGATGCTATCCTCTAAGAAAGTGACTCGTTGCGTCTTCTCGGGCTCACGTTCTCGGCTGACATGAAGTGGAAAGACTATATTGAATCCATTGGTAGATCAGCTGCTAAGAAAATCGGTTTATTGTGTCAGGCGAGACAATTTTTCTCTCCAGAATCTATCATACATATTTATAAGTCTACTATTCGTCCATGCTTAGAATATTGCTGCCACATATGGTCCGGTACCCCTGTTATTTACCTTGATATTCTTGATAAGATCCAAAAGAAGAATCAGCAATGTTATCGGTCCTGATCTGGCGGCTCGGCTTCAGTCAATTTCCCACCGCCTTAGAGTCGTTTTCCTGGGTCTTTTCTATAAATACTTTCATGTTCGGATGAGCTCTTTGCTATGATACCTTCTATGGTACCAAGACTTTTTGAATTTCAGCTCAGTACTAGACTGGCGTCGAGATCTCATCAATTTACAGGTGAGCTTTGCTAGGTGTAGACGTAAGTTCTATGCTAACAGTTTCTTTTTCTCGCACTTCTCGCTTGTGGAACTCTCTTCCGGCTCCATGATTTCCAGCCAACTTTAAATCATAAAAAAATTTAAATGTCAATCGCTATCTACTGTCTTCCTGATTACTCTTCCCTTTTCCCGTTCATTATTAATGTTTCTCTTCCTAATTCTTCCACACCCTGTAACCCCTTGAGTCTTAGTCGCTTTACTGCATTGCATGGGGGTGATAACGATTAAAAAAAATTATCCCGTTTCAACAAAATTTTTACCCACGTATTTATGGATATAAGTATGAAAGGGATATTTTAGGAGAAAAGTGCGTGGAAATGAAATTTAACTACCTGGGAACAGACGATGAAAAATGCAATGCAGAAATCCGAAGGCACTTTGAAATAGCGAAAGATGCCTTCACAAAACATTCCTTTAGAAACAAAGGAAAGAGGGTTCAGCTGTTATGTAATATCAATCCTCTTACTTGGATGTGAACGCTGGAGAATTTTCTCAAACATGAAGATTCGAGGCGACACAGCTGTGATTCTATACAACGATACTGAGAATACCACGGTAGCAAACATGGTATTCAACGAGTAACTTTTAAGAAAAAACAGGAATGAAAAGGACGCTTATACTTAGAGACGTGTAATTTTTAGTACACATAATGAGGATATAGGTCTTAGAGAATTTGTCATTGGAGGATGAGGAGAAGTAGGATGATGAGGTGTTGGTGGAGTAGGAGGATGATGAGGAGTAGGACGAGGATTTTAACCGAAGAAAGTCGAAAACTTACGTTTACTGCATCTGTTGCCTTCTTTTATCCAACCGGGACAGCAGTATCTCTCAAATTTGGATCCACAAACATGGCGTCTGGAAAAAAAAAGTAGACAATTTATTAAAATACTGATTGATTATAACAAAAAACAATAGCGATGATATAAAACAAACCTGAAACTGAAACACAGCTTCTTTTAGCACATTAACGAAAAAGTTTAGCCCACAGTAAAATCCGGTAATAATTATAAAAATAAAGAAAGAGAATATTAATTATAGGTTTCTAGTTATAACCACCTTATAACCATATTATTGTTCGCCTGTTTCCACTGAGTGCAAATACACACTGCCCGACCCAGGGGCTGAACTCACAACCACTATGCCACCAAATTCCCAAACCAACGCCAGGCCATTGTCACGTAGAAGCGTTGGTTTGTGAATTTGGTGACAGTGGTTGTGAGTTCAACTCTTGGGTCAGTCAGTTTTGAATTTTGAGTTGTCTGTCTTCGAGATTGGTTGTCCCTACCAATGCTAAAGTTTACCTTGTTATTTAACCCATACCTGGAGAAAGATATGGCATCATGCTTTTCCAAGAGTATTAGTCTATAGTGAATGTAACGGCCTTGGCAGGAATTTGAACTGTTCATCAATTCTATTTTACGCGGGGAAAATCGTTAAGACACCAGCATATTCTGGTAAGAGTGAAAAATACAGAACTACTTCGGTTCTTAAGTATTTACTCGCTTGCTTAGTC